ACGGGGGCGTACGTGTCTTTTGGTGTATTTGTCTGTCTGGTATATTGTTTGTCGGGGGTCGCAATTTTAAAGAAATGTATTCTAAAGTAATGAAAATAACTGATAAATAAGTAAAAACTTACCTGGGCATAACCCCGGCACAGGTGCTGTAACAAAGATGCCGACGGCCTCTATGCTTAAGTCGGGGATTAGGTCGGTGATTAAAAGGAAAGAAAGGGATTCTTTCCAGGTAGCCTTAATAAAAGCAGGTAGATTTTGCTCGTTGCAATCACTTCACCTCACAAACAAACACGTCTGCTCAGCTCGGCTGTTCGCTCTGAACTGAAACCGACCGGTGATGCGATTAGGATCGTGCTACTGTCGCTGGCTACTGGAGATTTAAGAATTGAGAGATGTATAGTTCGTGAACGATTCATTTCGAACAAATTATTTCAGTATTCAAAAAACAAACCATTGCCGCTGCCGCTGTCAGGTGTCGATGCTGAGCTGAGCAGCTCATTCGTGGTGGGGAAGATAGGTAGTAAAATTGAGTGAAGGTAAAAGAACTACAGTTCATTTCGAACTGTGAAAATGAACTATTATTTGATGTGAGTAGTTCACAAACGAACTATTCTGCAACGCCCATCTCTAGTACTAAAGGCACGCGTGTTACAAATCTGTTGCAGCGCCCTCTACTTATACATAGCGTACGTTCCATAATACGATTGGTTCACGGTATTAGTGTTAGGATAGGTTGGTAATTATGGAGTAAATAGAGGCGTTATATTAAAATTGATGTTATACAGCTTGAATAAAATAAATGAAACGAAATTAATAAACATTTCGTTACAAAGGATAAAAACTCTTAGAAAGATATGGGTGGAACGGTGCAAAAGACGCGATTTGATTAATCATATAACTGGATATATTTGTAGTACACATTATGAAGACTCAAACTTTGAACGCGATCTTCAAGCGGAGCTATTAAGTTTATCATCAAGAAAAAGACTTAAAGAAAACAGGTTAAATGTTCAATTTCTAGTTTAACCGATTGTATTAATCTCAAAAGGACTAAATTTATTGTTATTGTTGTATAACAAATTGAAGTGATTGTTAGAAAAGCGATTGGAAATAATTGTAAGTATCTATCGAAATGTGATTTTAATATTTTTGTAAACTTGACAATTTTTCTTAAAATTAAATGTTATGTCAAAAGTTCTGTGCGAATAACTTTTCCTCTTCTTCCTTTCCTTTTATTCCTCCATTTAACTCCGAACACCGAAAGAAATTCTTTCAAGGCTAAAAACTACTGTATAGTTTAGTTGTAAAAACTTACAGCCTTATTCCTATACGATAATACTGTCTACTAACATCCTATTAAGATGCTACTAAGAAATTTGTATTCATAAAAGGAATTAGTAAACTATTAGTCCTAGTTGGTAACTAAATTTTTAGTAGCGTGCTGGGGTATGTTTATCGGAGATAGTATAAAAAACCATCATCTGTCATCTCGTCTGTCTACATTTGAAGTTTCAAGTTTTCTGAAAAGTCTAACCAAGATATTTTTAGTTACAGTTATATCTTTTTTATATTTTATGTGTTATACAATGGAATTAAAAGAAAATGTAAGTTGGTAGTTATTCACATGTAGATATAAGTACCTACGGGTAAATCCTTACATTAGCGGAATTCGGAAAATGGTTCCTAAAACTTTAGCTACTCTCTATTTTCGAGGCTGTTGAGTATGAATCTGAAGTTATTTTTTTCCGCTCGGATGTAATTTTTGAGAAAAAACAAATCAAAATTGTAACCTCAAACCTTAATGTAGGTATATTTAGGTTGGAGTGTGTATACAGCAAAATTTTAAGCACTTTTTACCAGATTCCGCTAATGTAAAGATTTACCTAAGTACGTTTGATTTACAATAGTTTTAATGGCTATTTTATAGAGAAAACGTCAACGCTCACACAATCAGAGCTGGGTAATTACTTGTAATTTAAAAATAGTTACAATTACAAATTACTTTTTTAAAAAAAGGAACTAATTACAATTACAAAGTATATTCTTTAAAAAAGGAATTATATTAATTTAATTACAGTTACATGGAAAATGGATTTAGCAATTACTTTTCTAATTACTTTTCTAATTACTTTTATGATAAAGTAAATTATAGTGACCAAACAGAGAAAAAGGAAAAAGTTAAGTTAAAAATTTAAATTAAAAGTGTTGTGTAATATTGCGTTTTATTATTTATTAGAATTGATACTAAAATGAAAAGATTATTCTTATTCATTTTCTAATATAGAATTTTTATATTTTTATTCCTAATCTAATAATTTAAACTAGTTCAGTTCATACTATAATTTTATATTATTGGTCAGGTAATTAATTCAACCCGATGCTCTTTTTTTGGTTGTTAGTACATTTGCAAAATATAGAATACAGTAGTTTTGGGTAGACTGGAAAGCAATAATTATTATTAAAAAAATTACGAATCGAACAAGTACGAGTGAAAGGCTGAGTAACCGAACCAGAAGTTTTCTCAACTCAAAATAAGAGCAGTAACACATAGATACATAATATATATTTTTATAAAACTTGATGCTATAGACAACATATTTTTACTTCGTATATTTTCTAAATTAATAATAATTATAATAAAATAAAATGTACTCTGTTAATTCTGAGGTTAATTCACCAAATCACTTTTTATTGTTCACGCGGCACAAGGCTTTCCTCAAATAAAATAATAGAAGTTTGCAAGTCTGTACGCAATTACGCAATACGCATGATCTTAAAAGTAATTATAATTATTAGAAAAAGTAATTGTAATTGGAAAAAGTATTTGTAGTTATAGAAGTAATTTGTAATTTGATAGTTCAAATAATATAATTACAAATTACAATTCCTATAACTATTTTGCTGCAATTACAATTCCAAATTACTTTAATAAAAAAAAAGTACTTAAATACAATTACAATTACAGGAAAAAAAAGGGAATTGTAATTGCTAATTACTTTTTACCAGGAATTACCCAGCTCTGCACACAATTGGGAAGAGACAGAAAAATGTATTTTTTTAGATTTAATTTGTGAGGAAATAAAAATTATTGAAAATAAAAAGAAACTTACCGTATTAAATAGGGACAAACATGCTGCATGGGAACGTATAAAATGTAAAATAAATGTCCAAGGTGAGTGATATTTATTAATGAAGAAAAAATAAAAATGTACATTTATTAGGTTATACCAGAGACATTCAGAGGATGAAGGAGCAATGGCAAAGAATGAAAGTGCAAGCAAAGACGGCAATACGACGGCATGAAAAAAGTATGTGTCAAACAGGTGGTGGGCCTCCCGAGCCCAAACCGAGTGATATAGATTATAACATAAAAGACCTCCTTCCACATGAATTTACTGATGATTACTCTACATTTGATAGTGATAGTTCTGTAAAAGTATGTATGTCATAATTCTATTAGTTCTTATTAAAATACTTCTACTAACATTTTAGAATCATACAACTGCAGAAACAAATTTTATTGGAATAGAAGAAAATGTGGAGATAGATTTGATAAATAATGAGACGAAAGATGGGGACTTTATTGTTAATCCTGAAACTGGTTGTTTGGAAGATATATATGAAGAAACCATAGTCGTATCAAATCAAATTAAAGAGACCAAGTTTTTGAAAAATAGCCTTGGTGAGCCAAGTACACCTAGTAAACACGCAAAAGCAAAGCCAATGACAGAATATGAAAACCAATTGTTAGCTTTAAACAAATTAAGAATAGAACAGATGATGAAACAATCTGCAGAGATGCACAAGGTGAAAATGGAAAACAAGAGGAAGTATCACCAGGAACGGTTGCGAATGCTACAGATAAATGAATGCAGATGCAATAGAGAAAATTAATATTTATAATTACTGTTAATAAATATATAAAACTCTAATATATAATAATAAACTGTTTTGTTGTATTTATTTTCAATAAATATACATTATCAAATATTTCAAAATGTTTAACTTATTAATTACAATAACGTTGAATATATTCTCTCCTAAATATATTTCCTTGAGCATTATCTTCTACTTCTACTCCCTGTTATTTTCAAAATTACCTAATAATTCTTCCTCTACTAATTGTATGACAAACCGAGCAGTTCCTTTCCTCATTCTGTACCTGTTTTTAAAATGCATATCATATTTAACAAAAGGATTTTGTCTTGGCAAGTAAACTTTTGGATGTCTATTTATTATATTGGCTTCTTCAGCTTCATTCCCTTCTTCATTCACATCCAGTAATCCTAAATCTTTCATAATAACAAGAACAAGTTGAAATTGTACAAAGCATAAATTTGATATGATGCACGTATGTCACGTCAAGTTAAAGTGAGGTTAAAATACATAAAAATATTTCCAAGTAGGTCGAATGAACCACGGAATCCGTAAATATGCCGCATTGCCAAATATTTCTGTCATTGAAAACGTAATTAACAAGTAACTACTAAAATTTCAACTATGAATACGAACTGCTTAATATCTTCTTAGTAGCTATTAAGTCATAGATTGTTAGTATTATACTAAGCAGGTCTTTATGAATAAGGCTGTTAAGAATTTTTTAATTCCGAACATCAACTGCAAAAGGATAAATATGATAACTGTAGTTGGTACGTACAAAAATAAATTATATTGCAGCCTATTATAAAGATTTAAAGTACTTTGGTAAGTTATTTGAAATTTAACTAAAGACTACAATAAGATCATATAAATTTTACACAGTTTTTATTTTGGAGGCAAGATAATATTAAGATAGGACTAAATTGTTTATATATTAACTTCCCCTCTTTATTTTATTAGAGTTTATGGATATTAATAGATATCTGTAACAAAATTAACATAAATTTTAGGTTAATCGTGTATCAAACTATCGTGAAGCATGATCGTAATGACCGACCATATTGACATGGGCCCTCGGCGGAGACATCGGAAGTTCGAATCGAGCCCCACGTTGGGCGCCATGTCGAGAAGTATGATCGATGGGATCGGTAACAACGGCATGGGCCCTCGGTGGAGACCTCGGGAGTTCTAATCGAGCTCCACGTTGGGCGCCATGTCGCGATATATGACCGTTTGTGCCTAATGTTTGAGAATTGTGCGGGGAATTTGCAACATGGGCTCGCCGCGAAGACGTCGAAGCAGGACTTCGAGCCCCACGTCGAGCGCCATGTCGTGGAATATGATCTGAATGTTGTGTTTGGTCGGCATGGGTCCTCAGTGGAGGCATCGGGAGTTCTAATCGAGCTCCACGTTGGAAACCATGTCGCAACCTGTGATCTGGGATGTTAGTTCCCTTGACCGGGTTCCGCGGCAGGAACGCACGGAGTTCACGGGGATCGTCGCTATCGACGCCCGGTCGCACTATATTCTCTGACGATTGGAATCTGTGGTGGATATGACCTACAGACGTGGTGTCTAGGACACGAGCTCGCGGGGGAGATCTCGACGAAGAAGGTCGAGCTCCGCGTTGAGCGTCGTGTCGGGTTAGACTTTCTTGATATGGACCACTTAGGCGATGATCGTATGTTCGGGGGAAATCATGAGAATGGACGGGCGACGTACAAGTATTGTTTTGATAAAAAAGGCCGGCTTCGTCACCTATGACGTAGTCGGCTAAGGGGTTTTCGCTTACTATGGCACCCGAACGCGATGCGCATTGCTCCCGCTGGATACCACTTCGTAAAAAAGCTGAATGAACTGTAGCGTCGTCACCGACGGCTAGCTCACGTTCCGAATCACCCGACATCGGAAGTATTCCACTACCGGGGCCAGATCGTGAACCGTGGTTGGACTCATGGGATTCCCCGGACCCTACCAGTTGGTACGTAGGTTGAACCTCGTCCCGAGTATCTGTGGGTGACCCACTTCGTGGTAACTCTTGGTTGCTACTCGGATCCGCGAGTGCGTCGTGAGGGGTGGTCGAGATGGTGCCAGTAACTCGCGTAGCAGCGGACCTCAACGCGTACGGCGCTGTGGCTGCGCCGTGCCGCGTACTTCCGCGAGCCACCATCTTCGGTCCCTCAGACTCTTCGCGGAGCATCGATATAGCGTTGGCAGGAGAGGCCATTTCCTCTTTCACCCCGAATGTCGAGAGATCTTTCGCCGGCAAACAGGTGTGAGGGCAGTTCGTGTGACCGCTGGTCTCTCCGATTTGGGACGAGGTCTCGTCCAGCTCAGTCTTGATCATACTCACACGATCTAATTTATTATTCGTAGTATTACCTTCGAGGGCACCAATCCTCGTAGCACTGGATTTCGTAGTCGCGTCGCAGGGGTTCATCTTCCCCGTACGACAATGTCGGAGCAAGCTCTTTTGCTCCGAAAGTCTTGTAGACGTCTTGTAGTAAGCACTGACTCTACTATTAAATGTGGGTCTCTCGAGGGAGCCCTAGAAGTAAGGATAACTTCTTTACTAAATTTGGAAGTACGCCGCCACAATAACGTGCGTACTATTGCTTTGTGCCCGTGGGTCACAAAGTAAATGCCTCGTAGGGGTTTGACGAGGAAGGTTGCCTCGACGAGTGACCGCCTAGAAGTTTGACGAGGAAGATTGCCTCGGATTTGCAGATCTCAATGGAGTCTGAATTGTAGGTCTCGTAGGAGCCTATGTGTGTACTTTGTACCGAGGTGCGGGTCTCTCGATGGAGCCGGCACAGTCGGAATCAAAGTCTTCGTCGGAGGGTCGCAAGCCTCGGACGGTATGCAGGTCTCTGGAGGAGCCTGAAAGTATCGCTGTTTCGTCGCAGGGGGCGATCGAACAGGATCTTCGCCTCAGGTTGGGCTACCTCGGCGGGACGCAGGTCTCTGGAGGAGCCTGGAGTATCGCTGTGTCGATGCGAATGGCTATCGCACAGGATCTTCGTCGGAGGTGGTCAGTCTCGGACGGTTTCGCAGGTCGCAAATGGATCCTGGAATTTACCGCTGTTTCGATGCAGGGGGCTATCGAACAGGGTCTTCACCTCAGGCTAGGCTACCTCGGGTGGTTGTCTCGTTAAGCGAGTAGTGGTTGCAAAGCACTATCAATATCACGTCGAGGAATGGCAGCCTCGACGGAAGCCTCGTGAAGCGAGCCTGTGAGCTTGAGCTCCAAAGTTCTTGAGCTTGATGACAGGGTTTTTTCAATCAAACCGTGGAAGATATGTTAAAAGTATATATTGAACAGAATTAACAAACAATAAAGGTTCACAATTAACATATACAAGTTATTTACCATGAATAAGATTTGTTACACAATTGCTCTGTATCGCTTTCCGTCTCATGTACTCCCACTGAAGTACTGTAAACGTCAAAAGTAGACGTTCGATCACTTTTGTGGGATTTCCATACTTTTGGCGGACCGGGCCTTGAATTGTCCGCCAAAATCTCGAACCAAAATCATCCATCGTCCCCATCAACGCCGGGACTCGTTCCCCTCTGGCCTCTACGGATTGTCGATGTCGGCGTCGGGGATTTTGGAGTTTTTTCCAGGTTTGGGAAAAACTCTACCCGCGGTCTCGGCTTGGGCTGCCGAGCATCGTATCCAACCGCCAGAGCGGTGGAACCTTCGGAAGACGGTCCTTTCGGCCCAAAGACGGGGAAATTGGAAAGATAGGTGATATTTTCCCCGTCCTCGTAAAAGGGCTTACGGAGGTCTTATTTCTGGATGGATTCATTTGAAATTTTGTGTTTAGATACACGGCATGACATAGTGCCGTGGTTGGAGGGTTCGACCGAGATCGCGCGGATACTTTCGGCGGCAGCTCTAAAGGCGTGAAAACCTATTATGGCTTAGCTGGCCGTTAGTAGTCGGGCGATTCGGTTCGAATTTGGATATGACAACCACCTAGCGATACTCTAGTGTGGTTGGAGGGTTCGGCCGAGATCGAATGAGCGGAACGGCTGAAAACGCGGAAAACGTGAAATCCGCGTTTCCCCGTATAACGGCGTTTTGGCTCATCCGATTCGGACGAAAATTTAGTAAGATAATGCTAGCGACTTGAGGAGTGCTGCATTAAATTTTGACACCGATCGCTCAATAACTTTTGGAGTTATTGGCGATAGCGTCCTTGACCAATTCAAAAGGGTGGTGAAATTTCTAATGGCCATTTCCAAATGTCATCGTGAAGCGTCCCGGGGTTCGACTGCAGGTTGCGAGAGCAGCGGCAGTGGTCACTGCGCGCCGGGATGGCAGACCCAGGCGAGATCGGTCGCGATGCGGGTGACACTGGAAAGGTCGGTGAAATTGGTCTTTAACGCTCTGGGAGCGCTATCGCCGTGAGGATCGATGTCTGAAGACTCTCATGGAGGCTTTTTCATTCTGCCCGGCCGACGGCGATTGATTTCGCAACCGTGGCGGGTTTTTGGTTTGAATTGGAAAGGTAGGTGAATATGATTGTTTCGCCTCCTTTTCAATTCAGCGGTCTCCGGCATATCCGTAGATACAAGATTATGACTTCTATGAATATACGGGGTGTTCTGAAATCCTGAAGCTCGCTCGAAGGGTGGAATACGACAAAACGTCAAAAATCGTGGATGTATTCAAGACAATTTCACATTTCGTCCTTTTATCTCCAAATTCCAATGTAGAGGTTCAGTTTGTATATAAAGGTAACATTTTAGACCCAAATTACCTGTTAATTAACTAACATACATATAATCATAACTGATTAAATTTATTATTTTATGTTAAAATGAGCGTGGTACAAGAAAAGTGACAATTTTAAATTTGCCTCTTATTTTCTTATGGGATATGCAATGAGTCAGAAAGAGATGACGGTTGAACGAAGATAAACTGAGGAATTTATTGACGTATTTGTTTTTTTATTGGCTGAATGACTTATGCGGCGACCGTCTCTTTACGGACCGTAGGCATGAGC